AAAAAAAAAAAAAAAAAAAAAAAGAATGGAGAGAAAACCAAAGCGAAAGAAAGGAGCGCCTAGCTAGAGAGCATCTACTAATTAGTAAAACCTGACTTGCATAGTTTTTCCAAATATATATTACACAAAAAAATTTTAATTAAAATTAGAGGCCAAATTAATTATAGCATAAAAAAATTAGATAACAGTAAGAACTACATTACGTTTCCTCTACTCTTAAGTTTCAAAGTCTACCAGAGTCACAGTTCAAAAACGAACGAAAAAAAGTTAACTATTTGGTATACATTTAGACATATCTTTATATATAAACAAAGTCTAACAGGTCAATTTATCGGTTCAAATCGAATTTCCAAAGTGGACATACCCTTTTATATGTATACATTTAGACATATCTTTATATATAAACATTTAAAGTTAACTATTTGGTATTGCAAGAATTTAAATTCATAACATTAGTTTTAAATTAAAATTTTTAAATTAATGAATACTAATTTAGTTAAATTTTTTAGTAACTAGACTCTTTTTTGTGGTTGTCAATCAATTAGTAATGGTTTTTTATGGTAATTAATAATAGTTTTGATTGATTACTATAATTATTCTAAAATAATTATGTTATATAACTTGAATTTAGTATTTTTAATTTTTTAATACTAACTTCATTCCTAGAGTATCCTAGTAGTTGGGTGGAGTATAAATAATGGGATTTATGGAGGTCAAGAGCATCCAAAATACTGCATGGAACGCGTGGAATATTTTGAAGTTAATGGGGCCAAAAGCACGAGGTGATGGGTTTTAGTTGTCTGATTTAAACAATACAAATTTCCAATTGTAGTTTTCTTTTTTTAGGGTAGCCACACCTAAGAGGCTAAGACATGCCTTTAATTAAACCCTCCTCATTAGGGCTAAAAAGGACCTTTTCGTGATTTTCTAAAACCAAAGAGCTTTTACAGTCATTTTATCCTCGTAACATGCCATAAAGTCCTTCTCTTGGAAACAACCTGATATTTTCCCCCTTTTTCTCTCATGGGTAGAACATAAATACTTTGTACTAAAAAAAGAATACTATAATAACAAATATTGGATTCATGTGTAGCGAAGACATCTAAAATTTAAATCTTAATATTAATATTTAAAAAATATAAATTTTTTTATTTAAATTTATTAATTAATGTAATTTATTTTATTTGAAAATCATTAAAAAATTAATTTTAAATTGCACGCAAGTTTCGAAAACTAGGTGACGTCCGGAAGAACAAAGGAATGATATAAAAAAAATAATATTAACATGTAATATTTGTATTTATTTAATTATCTAACTGACTGATTGACCACCCCCTCTATTTCTCTCTCTTCTCTTATAATTTCTCTCTTCCCTTTTCTTCTGCAACAATTTCATCTCCACAAGCTTCCAAACAAAGAGAATTAATGGAAAGTGAGATTTGCAAGGTTTATTCTTCCTCTTGTCCTCTCATATATTTACTCTGAAACAAACAGATACCTTATCTCGTTAATGGGTGTCCCTCTCTTTCTTGATTCCACGATTCCAAAATATTCTGATGGCAATAACCACAACAGATCCCTCTTTCCAATTTAAAAACAAGATTCAGAAGCTTTCTATCCATGGATGTTGAGATATATTCTTGTTTTCATCTGAATGATTGGTTTGGGTATCTGGGTTATCGGATATGATCATGGTTCCTGCTGAAAACCTCTACAAACAATATCTTCTAGGCGGTGGCGGCAGTGGCAGTGGTGACAGTTTTTATGGTGGTTGTTGTGGCAGTTACGCGGAGAGTCTGGGTGTTATGAGTCGAATAAACGGGTATGAGTATAACGGTGAAGCTTGTTTAGGATCTGATCTAGCTGCGAATCCCATGGCGGAAGATGATTCCAGGACTAACAGTCTAAATGAGGCGGTGTCTAGCTCAAAGGATCATATTCAAGAAGAGAAAGATGACGGTTGGCTGCAGCTAAGCATCGGCAGCCACGCCTCCGGAAGTAATAACAAGAATCATGAGGCGGATCCCACGGCGGTGAGAAGTGGAGGATTGGTGGAGCTGGATCTTTTTTCCGGAGACAGCGCCTCTCAGCTAGCAGTAAGGCCTCCATTGGGGCCTGCTTTTCATGTCCCGGAGTTTCGGTCGCCGCCACGCCCTGCCATGCCCAGTTCTAGCACTACATCTTTGTTCTTTCATCAAAACCAACAGCCAGGAAGCAGCCTGATGTTTCCTCCTCATAATCAAGACATTAGCTGGCCATTAATTAGGCCCATAACGCATAGCATGGCCACCGCAGCTTCTTCTTCCTCCTCTTCTTCTTTGATACCTCTTGGATGGAGGCCAACATTTCATCAAGTGCAAACTGGAATGGATGTGATGGCAGCGGGCCCCAGCTCCGTCGGCATTAGAATCATTGATCCTCCTAGAAGACCCCATTCTGGCATTTGGTTCATGCTACAAGCATCACAAAACCAGTAAGTCCATAAAAGAAGGAATTCAGATTTTTTTTTTTCTTTTTCTTTTTCTTTTTCGAGTTTAATTATTCCTTTATTGGTAATGGAATTTTTTTTTTTTTTTTTTCAGAGTAAAAGAACCATTCTTGCCTCAGATACCAAAGAGCTACCTCAGAATCAAGTAAAAAAAAATTATTTTTTTTTCTTTTCTTAAGGATTTTTCATCTGAGTTTTTGAAATGAATTTACATTAATTTTTGTTGGCTTTTTTCAGGGATGGGAAGATGACAGTGAGGTTATTAATGAAGTATCTGGTTAACAAGCTGAGATTGGATAGCGAGTCAGAGGTATTTATTCAATATCTCCATTAATGCGACTTTTTTTTTTTTTCCATTAAAATGCTATATATATTCTCGTTCTTCATTTAATTTGCATCCCACACACACAAGATTAGCAAAAACATGATGGCATTAACATGAATATGGACTTTTGGTTGGTGTTAGAGAGATGACAGAAACGGCAGAACTAAATGCATATATCAATCTCTTCTTTAAGACGATATTGGTTCTTCCTATAGCATATCATCATGAATTTAGGTAGGAAGTATATTTCCATGGGTTGCGCATAGGGATTTTCTATTTTTGTATCATTTGCCTCATGATCTAAATTATTGTTCCAAGGATGACAATCTGTTGGTCTAATCAATGTAATGTGAGACTGATAAATTGGTCCCAAAGGCTCGCGCGGGTTTGGGTTAGTTAAGAATGTTTTTGTTGACAGGATTAAGGATGTAAGATTGGATTTTGGAAACTTTAGGAGACGATAGAAAACTACCTACCACCCTTTCTTTTATTCCCTACCAGTAAAAATGGAAAAGAATGAGACTCTCGGAAAAATATGTATGTTAAAGCCTTAAAGGGTTTATTATTTTTCAAAGACATCTACTCATGAAAGTAACATTTCAATGATCCGGACATGCCTTAGCCCTTAAAATAGGAGAAAGCACAAACTTGTAGTATGTATAAAGTAAAACTTAACTAAGTTATATATGAAGAGTTTATGTATATAGACCCAAATATTTAGAAACGTATGTATCTAATTCATTAAACTACAGAAAAAAATGGGTGCAAACTTAATTACTACTAGTTTGAGAGCTGAGATCTTAATTATTAATTGCACACAAGTATAGGGTTTATCTATGTTAGTCTTGAATTGATGAAGAAGATTATTAAATGATCGATTAGAAAATTTTAGGATAGGTATGTAGCTATGGAATTTGAAGTCAAGGTGTCTTTGGGGTTATAATTATCAATGAAAAATGTTGTTTAAAGGAAAGTTAATGGAGGTAGCTAGCTAGCTTTATCAATATTGAGAATAAAGAAAGGAATTACAAAAAAAAATGCTAATGTTGTTGAAAAGAAAATTCAAGATGGAATTATGAGTTCATGGAAACCTTAACGTTTTTACTAATTGATTGGAGATGATTATGAGATTATACTAATACATGAAATGAACAAACATGTACGTAGACAATCATAAATGGAAATTTTCTTTGACTGCATACACAATCAATATTGAGAAAAGTATCTTGTAATAGGGTTTTAAAAATTGCGCAGCCATTATTGCTAAAAATATAGGAGTACACAAACAATGATGCATGCACGGGGTATACATACATATATATAGAAAGTTAATAAAATCTATGTAAGTTGTGTATTTGATTCGCATTATTGCATGCCAGCACTTTGTGAATGATATTGCTTCTTATTTACTCTTCATGATCAAATACCATAATTTCATCCTTAATAATTACAGTACCATACCAAAGCTTCTTTCATTCTACTTTGGAACATTGTAATTAAACCTATGTAACATAATCCATGCGTCTACTTGTTCTATTTTTTTCTTACATAAATTGTCTATGCTTTTAGATGGAGATTATTGATGATTTAGAGAAATCACAAAAACCTCGTAACATTTAGAAACAATAGATTAAAACTCTATTTGAATCTCAAGAGTACTGCAAGAGGCATGTAAATTAGCATGCATGTTTTTCATTTGTAAGTTGCATAATGAATTACAATTATAGTTAGAAGAATAATTGATTAAAAAACCCATTTCTCTATAGCTAGTGCTGTAGGCAAACTTCTTTGAGCCATATATAGAGGTCTCTTGATTTAGGGATTCATATATAATTTTGATTACACTTTTTAATATAATCTCTATTCTTTATTAAAAAAAATGAGTTTTTTTAACATGTACCTTAATTAAACCTTAAGTCATAAGTTAAGGACACATTTTTATCATAAATTTATATATATAAATGTAAAAACTAACAATAATTTTAGTGTTAATGTTAAGTTGATAAAACTAATTAGACAATTAATAAATTAAAAATTAAATATTATTTTTTTAATAAAAGTTTATGACAAAAATGTGTATTTATTACACCCTTAAGACACATGTTAGAAAATTTTTAAAAAAATTATCCATTTGTCCGTGTATAATATTTTTCAAATATGCCTTATAATAATAATAATAATAATAATAATAAAAGGGGAAAGCATGTATCCATTGCCCTTAATGTGAATTCCCCAATTATAAAATTCTTCAAATTCAATATATAGCAAAAGTATTAAGGCCTTCCTCTTCATGAACGTTAATTCAATACTGAATATTTAAATTTAGGACTGATTGAAGCATGCATGCATGCCAAGGCCAATTTATGTAGAGAATTTGAGATAGTATAATAGCAATTCGCCTGTGTTTGTGTGAAATATTAGATATATATTGGTCTAAACGCGAGAGAAATATATATGTGTTAGAATTCAGAGAATTTAATACTAACATGTTAGTTAATGAAAACTTATGACAACAAATACATATTCTTTTAATGCTTCAATGTAGGTTTGCCATTCTCACAAGACACATCATATATATATATATATATTTCTTCAATCACTTATACTTATTTATTCTATTTTTTCAAATTTGAGTTGCACAATAAAAACTAATTCTCTTTTATTCCTTAACACATCTTATCTGTATATTATACAATTCATATTATATAATTCAAACTCAGGATCATTGATTTCACTGGAAGAAAATTAGCATTACGTTATTTAGTTTGTTGGCAAGATAAGAAGCAAATAATTAAATAATTAGTTATTGTAATTACATATGATAAAGAATATTAATACATTAAATAAAAATACACTAAATAAAAAAATAAATTAAATAAAGAGTAAGTTGTAATCAAATAATTAATTTTTTGGGATATATGACATCCTCAACATTCTCTTTTATTGTTTTAATACATGTAATCTTAGTTATGCAAATAAATTAATTATCATATATTTAATTAGGTCAACCATTAATTAAGCCATGATAAAGCTGCTTACATATAGATGCTTTTGTTTTCTTTCTTTCCTTGCACTTCATGCCATGAAGTAAGGAGTTTAGGATTAAGACATTAATCTTATTTTATCAATCACATAGACCCAAAAGCAACATCAGTTGCCTCTTCAACGTATTCTTCACCTAAGAATCTCTCTCCTTTTTTTAATACATCTAATCACCAACGAATTAAACAATGGTATATTTAGGATGCATGTCGTGCTTAACATTCATTCTCCTTGTCATTTTTTATGTCTTAGATGAGCTAATATAACCCCTCCCCCTCCCCTTTTTTTTATAGAACAACGAGCTAACTTAATTATTTAGGTCAACACGAATAGTGAGATTGATATCCCACCGGCCTGATCATATGAATGGCTTCTTCATTATAAATTTTGTTGTGTGACTCAATCCCATGCCGTCCGGAAAGTGATATTTCATCTTCCACAATCCACACTCATAACATGCAACTTATTAAATTCTCAATGATTGGGAATTTAGGGTTGTTTAGGCTTCAAAAAAGAAATTAACGAGGAAGGCAGTGATTTTAGCATACAATTAGGATTTAGGACTCTTTCATATGGATCTCTCTCATATCTTCGTGTGAGAAGATTTCATCTTGAATGATTTGTTGATTAGTGTTCATACTCAAGTCTAGGAAAGAAAATGTTAGATATGAATTTGTTGCACTATATTTCGTGATGATTATTACCCACAATGTCTTTAGAAACATTGTGAAATTTCTTTTTTACATGGATAACAACAAATCTAGGGCAATAATAATAATCAATATCCCTAGGAAAAGCAAAAAGATGTCCTCATGTTAGGAAAGTTTACCCTTTTTTTAATTTGCATTGACTTTAGGATGTAAAAACATCCTCCACTTTTTTGATTATCTTCTTATAGCGCATACACCCCCAGGAAAAATGAAAATCTTACAAAATCATATCGTAGGGCCAATAATATCACACGTAAACCATATGTCCCTAAACACCCCATCTGCATGCGTTATCTCATTCCTTTCGTCACGCTTTCGCCTCTTCAATCTCATCAATCTTCTTTCTTTAATTGTTTTTGGGTGATTTAAAGTGATCCATCAAAACCCTAAGTGCTGCACTTCGATAGGAATTTATAAAAAAACCCATCATACCACTTCCACAACCAACCACAAAACCAATAAAATAAAACAATATTTTACGTCGGAGGAAAGCAATGCATGAGGGTTAATTCCACAGCAGAATCATTCCTAGTCGTTGAAAAAGAACAAAATTAAAAGCATAAAAAGACAGATGAGAAAACCCGTGAAAAACAAAATTAATGCATGCAAAATAAAATATTGAAAAATTATTGTAATTTAAATTGTATCAAATTACTGTGAAATATAAATTTTTATATAAAAAGCAAGTTTTTTAATATTGAAAGTCTTAATTCATTTAAAAATTTTTATTTTTTAATTTAATATAATTTAAACCATAAAATAACAAATTCATAAAATATTTAGATAACAACTTCTTATCATATATTATATCAACAACAACCTATTAATCAAACTACATAAAGTTTATAACTTCTCTTCTCTTATCAAGTTTAGAACTAAATCAGAACACATATCAAAAGGATAATGAAAATGGAAAGAAGATATTGACCTTGGTAATTAGGGTTTTGTATTCTTTTTTGGATAGAGAGAAAAGTAACATGAAGAAGACGTGCATGAGTTGTAATTGGTCCATAAAATAGTTAAGTTCGGGGGATTTCCTTTTTTTTCTTTTTCCTTGGTTTTTTAAGAAAGTAAAGGAGAAAAAGAAAGTATAGTCCCTATACCTCGCCGTCCTTTTTGGATCCATTTGGAATTTTATTAAATTGTGGGATTAAAAAAATAAGTCTATGGAATAATCATGATTCTGGCTTTCGAACAAAGTCTGGGTGGGCCCAGTAATGATTAATTCCGGGCAGTTTAAGATCGTGGAAAAAACGGGCAGCTGACCGGAATTAGGAATCTCTCCCTCTGTGTGAAAAGAGTGAAAGGGTAAAGTAGACGTTACACAGAAATTGGGGCAGACGTAAGCTACTGACAAAGCATGACTTCAACCCTCAACTTATTATTTTATTCTTCCAAGTCCCTATAGTCCTTCTCATATTTCATTAGTTCCAAATGATATTTTTGTTGTTATATTCTCATCCAAGGCAATGATAAACTTTTGAGAGAAAAGTTTTTCTCAATCCAAACAAGCAAAGAAAAAAAATGCTAATTCAGATAACCACAAATCTGTATATATATTCAAGTTTATATATAAACGTGAGATCAAATCGGAGGGCTGTAGTTATGCAGATGTCAAACAAACAAGTTTTTGTTGTTTTTAGTGATTATGTACATATCAAAAGCATTCATTCTTTTTTCTTTATTTGTGATTATGTTTTGATTATAATGAATGGTTATAACAAGTTTTGTGGGAATATGCACACGTGTGAATGGGATGGATATGGAAATTTTGCAGGTAGAGATAACATGTAGAGGGCAACATCTTCAACCTTTCTTGACGCTGCAGCATGTGAGGGATAACATATGGAGCACAAGAGACGCAGTGACTTTGCTTCCTGAATCATCATCACCGTCCGATCATGTCATGGTGCTGAATTATGGTAGGAGTGCTTCATAATTATGAAAGTGAAATTTTTCTTAATTATTCACATAATTTAATTATTTATTCGGTGGACTTCTCTTCACATGTACCATTCTTAACTTATGGAGATACCTTTTTTCTTTCCCTTTCTTTTGTTTTTCCTAATTAATTATGGGTTTTGGAATTTATTTTTATTTTTATTTTTTTACTTGTCTAATTGATGGAGAGAGAAAGTAGTTGTTTTGGGATGCTCCCCAAAATCATGTTTATGGTTTTGGGGTGAATAACATGACCAAAATTGTGTCTCCCAGCAACATGATGGGCTTGATGTTTAGTTTTATCATTTCTGTTAGCCAGCACAAACTTGGATGATTAATTGACTAATTGATCTATTTTACCCATTTTCTTCGATCTTCTATTACCCACTATTTATCTCTCGTAACTTTTTTTCTTCACCAGCCATTTATTTTGCAAAAAGAAAATATTACATGAAATATATCAAGAGGCAGATAAATTAAAGGTAAGATATATATTACATGTTTGTGGTATAAAACGAATCAGCTTGACTCCCTGTGCCCCTTTCAACTTGTTGTCATTGTAGATTTTAACCCCTTTAACATACAATATGTACATTATGAAACCTCTAAACTACTCGCGTCTTTGGTGCACTCACGTGCCCGACAATTTTTAGCCATGGATGGCCGAAAAAGCCATGGAAGCAGGACGGCCCAAACCACAAATGCATCAGGGCCTCAGACTATACGGGAAAAAGTTTGCACCCTCTACCGTTAACCCCGAAAAAATTTATCTACTCAATTATTCAAAAGAATTTATATGTTGCACCACCAACAGATTGTAGCCCAAAGGATTAACTGGGCTGGGCTCCCTTAGGTATGGTGGTACTGAGGCTCGCCATCCACGTTTCCCTGTCCCGATAAACCTCTAATTGTCTACCTTGAAACACAGAGAAAAAAAAAAAAAGAAGAAAAAAGAAAAAGGGGAACAAATGGGAATTTATAAGGTTAATAAAAGAAAGAAAAATTGTCGAGAAACAATTTTTTTATATTATTTTTTAATATAATTTTATATGTTATTTAAATAATTAATTTTTTTATTTATTTAAAATTTTTAATATTAAATATATCTATTCATTTAATAATATATAAAAATCAGTGTTATCAATAGCGGATAACGGCAAATAACGGAAAGGCCAAAATCTGCTATGATAGCGTAGCGGGTAGCGTAGCGGCTGCTATAGACAAATAGCGGGTATTTAATAAAAAAATTAAAATATAAGTCTAATAATTAAAATAAGAGATAAATCTAGTAATAAAAAGCATAAAATGACCTAAGA